AGGAGGAGAGAGAGAGAGAGAGAGAGATAGAGATCTTACAATCTTCAACATCCTTCAGCTGATAATAATGCGGAGCTATTTCCACTAATCACTCTGGCTCAAATTCTGTTACCTGCAATTTAATTGGAAGGCTTTAGCTATAATGCAATTTGCATATACGAGATTACCAACCAACAGGAAAAATGAAAGGTACAAGGGGACATATACCTGTTCTCATATATTCCTTTGTTGTAAGTACCAATTCATGATTGGTATATATCCCATCTCGGAAGCACCTGAAGATAAAAATTCAACAGAAAATTGAACAATGCATCAGATAATATTTGTCCAATTACTATGAAAGGCAAAAACCGACATTGACACAAATAAATTATTTCCTCTAATGCATATCCAAATATACAAAAGCCTGTGAGTTTTTGGTAATTGGTATTGTGTACGTGTTCACAAGCGAAATGATGTGTTGGAAAAGCAGTAAAGTTTGTCCTCTTTTTTTGAATAATGCTAGTAAATCTCCTCAGCACGGGTGAGCAGTCAGCTCTTAATGCAATGAAAGTAATGACCCAAACCCATATTCCACTTTCACTCCCCCTGCAAAAATATGTTTCACTAACACGTACTATATTCAATACATAGCATGAGTGGATCAGTTTATATTGTGATCCAAAAAACTAAGCTCATATATGCAAAGTAGCCACCAGAACAATGCAATTCATCTTTACCTGCGACAGCCCTGAGCTGGGATGTATATGGACAGTCTGTGAATGTTTGACTGTTCTATAAGATCCATTCTTTTGAAGCTTTGCGGAATGAGGGAAGAAGCCTGATAGAAAAAACAACACAGTTTAATTTAACAATGAACAGGGGAAAAAAAAAACAGAAAGAATCACTTTGAGATCATTATGGCTAACAGTAGTGGTAAAATTACCAGATGTAATGGCCTTCTTTATGGTCTCGTAATCACTGAGATTTGAGACCAGCTCAATCTCAACCCTCTCTCCAAGAGTCCCTCAAGCTGGTCTACAATGTCTCTAGCATGCTTCATGCTCCTCACCTGTAATCAAGGTCTAAAATATCGAGAGTCTCGGAAATATCGGTGGTCCATCGATGGAAATATCGAGAAAATATCGATATCGATAAAAATTGAATAAAAATCATGGAGATTGTAAGAAAAACTTGGAAATTTTTATTGAAACTTTAGAGGATGTTTATTTAGTCAATTGTCTATTATTTTATCACAAAAAATTAGAATAAAATGCATGGCATGGTGGGTTAGAGTGATTTACGTTGATTATGCGGTGACCTAAAAAACACTGTGTCTTTAGAAAATATGTAGTAATTAGTGAAAGAAAATTAAACGCACCATAATTTTTTAGTTATAATAATTTACTACAATATATTGCATATGATAAGATATATGAGCTTGACAAAAAAAACAAAAATAAAATATATGAGTGACTTAGTACCACCTTTAAAAATATATATATATATATACTCTCTCTCACGCACTCTCTCTCTTTTCCTCTCAGATTCTTTTAATTCTCTTTTTCTTTCTGTCTTCTCTCTTCCACGTCTTTTCCTCTTGGTTCTTTAACTTCTTTTTTCTTCTTTCTTTCTTCTGTCTTTTGCCTCCTTTCCTCTCAGTTCTTTTTTCTTCTTTCTCTCTTTTTCTTTCTCCTCTCATTTCGTCTTTATTTTCTTTCTTCTTCCTCTCTTTCTCTGATTTTCTATTAATCTAATTTTTTTTTTCTTGGTTTTATGTTTCTCTCTCTTCCTCTATATCTCTTTCTTTGCAATTCTCTTTTTCTATTTCTCTCTTCATTTTTTTTTTCTCTTCATGTTTTGTTTCTCTATACATATATGTGTTCATCTTGTAGATCTGGGTGAAGTTCTTGGAGACATGGGTTAAGTTCTTGTAGATCTGGATAAAGAGCTTGTAGATCTAATATGATATTTCATATTTTTTATGATTTTGGGCTGATGATGGTATTGATAATATTGATAATAAAATGCTTGATAATATCGCGCCATTTCTCAACAATTTCATTTATTTTTCAGTTTCAATCGTGATATTATCGATAATATCGCGATATATTGCCCAAATAAAGCAAGAATGAGTACGAAATTATCGCCTCCAATATTATCGCGAAAATATCAACGAAAATATCGATATATTGACGATAATTAAGTGGATATGGCCTAAAATATCGCTCATTAAAAAAAATGAAATTATCGGCGAAATATCGCCGATAATTTCGATATTTAAGACTCTGCCTGTAATCATGCTCCTCACTTGTAAAATTTTGGGATTACAAACAACCATGTGAGGAGTATTGATAAAGAATCAATATATTTTAATTTGACATGGTCAACACAACATGTTAATCAGTATCTTAAAAAAAAAGAGGAAATAATTAACCTAAACTAGTATCGATGTTTTAAATAAAAAACAGATCAAGATTTTAATTGGCATTGGCATCATTCTGTTGTCACCATACAAAAATATTTGACAACTTTCTTGACCACAGTTAATAATGAGGATCTATACCATACTTATTCAAGTCATTATAACTACTTCACATCCTCCAGGTCCCAAAGTCAATGGTTTAAAGCCCTAAACATCAGATATATTCACTAAAGGGAAAATACAAATAAACTATATAGAAAAAGAAAGAAACTACACCTTGAGCAATGCAATGTGATCTCCCACGTTCCCAGCGTGAAAATTCAAACGTGCATTGTCAACATGGACTTGTTTGTCCTTGGGATGGTAAAAGATGGAATTACCAATGGAAAGCACGGCAGCAATGGAAATAACTTCATCTAAACACTTGTACTTATCAGAAGCAACTATCATCTTAAATAGCATGGGATCAAGTGGAAACTCCGCCATCCTTCTACCTACTTTAGTCAACTCACCCACTTTATTTAATGCACTTAGTGCAAATAACAGTTCCAGGGCTTTTAGTAATGCTTCAGATGGTGGAGGGTCCATAAAATCAAAGTGTAATAAGTCATGAATACCAGGGCACTTCAGCGTAAGCACAACATTTGCAAGATTAGTTCTTTGTACTTCTCGTACTGTGTTATCATCTAAATCATTGTAATAATTGTAGGCAGTAAATAACCGGAAGCACTTTCCAGGACCCGTTCGACCAGATCGACCTGCCCTCTGCATTGCTGATGCCTTTGAGATGGGAGTAACTAGCAATGACTCCATTCCAGTCTCCAGTCCTTGGGTTATACGACTTTATCTTGCAAAACCCTGGGTCAATAACATATTTGATCCCATCAACGAAGTTTCAGCTATATTTGTGGCAAGGACAACCTTCCTTGCCCCCTTAGGCGTGGCTTCAAAAAATTTTGCTTGCAGCTTAGTAGGTAGGTTTGCATATATGGGACAAATAATCAGCTCAGCAAATTTTGTCCCCAGGCCCCTTGTTCTGTGCTTCAATATTTCTTCCGCTGTTTCAATCTCTTCCTGACGAGTTAGGAATAGAAAATATCTCCAGGTGGTTGCATCACATGGATTTGACGTGCAGTGACAATTGCTGCATCTAAGTGATCAGCTTCTGGTGCTTTCGTGGAATGTATTTCAACAGGTTACCGCCTCCCTGGAATTTTGAAAATTGAGCAGAATCAAAATCATCACTGAACTTCTCAGCATCAAGCGTTGCACTTGAGATAAGCAGTTTGAGATCCGGTCTAAATAGAGCAATATCCTATTACAAAAACCACTAACCATCAGATATTGAAGATTTTCAATAGCTTCAGGCAATTGATCACGGCAGGTGAAGATGGGTAATGTTTTTCTGTCATCCTGAATGAATATTAAAACATATATTATAATCTCTTATGATTTGATACCATTCAAAGGTTAATCATATAGTTAAATAATTAACGACAACCACAAAGTAAATGGACACCGCAACAATCTTTAAAACTTCCACAATGTTTGCATTTTTTAACGTTCTATATTTATTCATTCTCCTCAGGTTGTTTAAATGCAGCAGACATTTTTAACTTCCGCAATTTATTCATTCGTTTCTGAAGCATGCCACAGGCTGGAACTAGTTTTCTCAGAAACAATGGTGAGAATAAGTCATACCAAACATAGTTAAACATCTAAGCAAAAAAGCCAAAGGAACTATGAACAAACAAATTAAGGAAACGAAAATTATTAGCCACCTGGAGCTTCTCTAAGGCCGTTTTCGCTTTCGACTAAGTACCTCAGAGGGTTGCCCGTCATCATCAAACTGCATCCGGAAAACAAACAGATGGGACTGACTGTGATAACAGACAAAGGTGTCAAGTCAAAAATGATGATGCTAGTTGGCATACCTCATCACCATCCATCACTGATGCCTTGATAAAATCAATCTGATCCTCAAATACAAATCTAAGCATCAAAAGATATGAGTGAAAAAGACTTAGAATGCTCATGCACAAACAAAAGAAGCTATTAGAATAAGCTTCTGCAATTAATTTGCTTCACTTATTAACAGATGCAACTTCAGATAGTGAAAATAAGCAGGTAAAACAGAAGCAAGAGGATGAAAATTCGTAAACTTACTGATACTCATCAGATAATTGTTTCTTGTTTTTTGAACCAAATTTCAGCGTTGCTTTTCCTGCAAGATGATCCTCAGGATGAAAATTCTGAATTTTTTTTTAAATTGCAAGGGAAAGGCGCTAAAACCTCACAAAAAACTCACCAATTTGGTGATCCTCCCAAGCTTCCTCTTCTGCAAATGGGTTCATTTTATCCCCGGCACTGAGGACCCTATACAACGCAATAGGTACAAAAAAAAAAGAAGATAAAAGACAAAACAAGATCTGTTTCAGGATTGCGGATTTGTTTATTAAGATTTTTTGGGGGGGGGGGGGGGAATGATGGTTGTAGTAATTGTGAACATTTCCAAAATAGTGACCTGTAGCGTTGCACAGTGACAGAAAATCTCTTTTCCTGATTAACACCACCCTCTTCATCGTATGCATCTGGCATCCTGTACTGCATTTCAAAAAACCAAGGCATCTCAATTACTCATCCACTCCAACGTGAGCAGGAGGAAAATTCTCAATACAAAACTCTTCTTGAAAACAGCTCACATAGGCAAAAAGGATAACCATAGTTAATTATCAATAACCTCAGTGGTATCCTCAATCTCATCTGACTTCTTCTTCACCAGCTCGTATATTTGTTTCTTGTAACTGTAGCACAAAATTCACAAATAGGGAAAAATATTAGATTCTGTAATAGATTTATCGGCTGGCAAAATAACTAAAATTAGTTTTTTTTTTAACTTTGGTTTATTGGAGTAATAAAACACTAAGCAATAACCACCGACTGATCATAGCAAAGTAATTAGGTAACTGCATTTTCATTACCTTAGTTTGCGATATTCTGCCTCAGTGAGGTTCTATATCAGTATTGCTCATCCTCTATATCGTCTCTGAGATACATGTCAAAACAATTAAGCACCACTGATTGTGCAGATATATGTTTCAAATTACAAAACTACAACGGTTTTTTCTTTTTCTTTCTTTTGGGGGTAGGGGGTCGGGGGAGCTCACTTTAGGTAAAAGTAAAAGATAATTCTTTCCATACCTGATTTCCTCCAATTTCTTTTGCTGCCTCTTCTTGAGATATTCTTGTCTAACTGAAGCAGAGACAATTGAAGGAGAAATATTAGAACCCTGCTTAGTGTCATATAGAACATACATATTTTGAGTACTTTATTTTGCTTTCTGGGATGAAAATAAGTAGCTTCAAGATAATAACTAAAATGGAAAGACAGTCTTTTCCACTGAAAAATCACCAGAATGTTTGTGTACTATAATACCATTTAGAAACAAGCAGCTTTTTATGTGTAAGAAGAAAGAAAGGCAAGCAGGTACTCTTGCTCAAAAATTTAGAAAAGCGCTAACTACTAAGGGTGGATTTTTTTTCAAAAAACATTCATCTTTTAACTATTTCAAAGACAACTATTGCCTGCCAAAAGAATAGAATTTCACCTATAAGAATGATACCGAAAAAAAAAAACAGAGGACTTCAGAATGAATCAAATACTATTTAGAAATTTCAAATACTATTTGTTTTAAAGCACTAATCTTTTAACTATTTGAAGTTTTATATTGCCAGCCAAAAAATAGAATTTCACTTATAAGCACGATACCATAAAAACACAGAACCTCAGAATAAATTAATTCATGATATCTAGATAATGACAAACCTTAAATCTTCAAGGTCATTCCGCTCCAATGCATTGCTTTTCCGAATAGCCTCCTCTGCTGTACAGTAGAATGTATCATGACGAGGCAACAAAAACTATAAACATGAATATGAGCAAATGCAGCAAGTCTTAAGTATGTAATTCTCGAAATATATGTGTATGGATGTAATTGCTCTCGAGTTGTAGTACCTTCTTCTTTTCGTGTTAATTTTCTCTCCGTTAACTGTTGGTAGGGAGGGAAAAAAAAAGAAATTTAGTGACAAGAAAACAACAAAAGCAATGTGATGATTATGCACATGTAGGTAGTTGTTCCAAATCAGAGACGAATATGAGAAATCATAGCTCAATCTAAGAGTTGTTGCTAGGAAACACCATAACAGTAGTTTGTAGGTAAAACAGGATAATCTCCATATCAAGGAGTAGACCCAGATAACAATATTCTAGCCGGAATAGACAATACAGCTGCAGTTTCAAAGCATACATCTTTGCATGATATCAATAAATCATTTAAGGATGCAACTTTTAAACAACTAGAACTAGCTCGAAGCAGGAAGACAATCCAAGCAGTTTTTATACCGAAAACTAAACGTATGAAATGAAAATCAGTTCTGAACTAAATTTGTACCTTTCATGTAGCTGCTGTATCCCGTTCCCTTATATTCTGCTCCAATTGCTCCCTCTCTCTTTGATCACGCAATCTTTCTTCTTCTGACTGCATACCATTTTAAATAGAGGACATGTTCAAAACTGAGATATCAAGCCCATATTCCACTTTCACTTCCTTTGCAAAAATACATTTCACTAACACATACTATAACGTACCTTCACAGACTGATCACCATTGATGCCAAGTCCAACTCTTCATCAGAATCAATCACTTCTTCAAAATTGTAAAAGGGATCCGCCTTTGGTCTTGGAGTAATTGCTTCGAAACTATGAAATATAGGATCATCGAAATTAGGGGGTTCCAAGATAATGTAAGCCCCTTTATTTTTGTACCTCTCCTCTGTGTTCTGAAATTGTGGGTAGTCTGGAGCACTAAACAAAGTGATGAGCTTTCCTGACTCCACAATGTGATCGATGGTGTACCCTTCATCCATTCCACCAAGACCTGGCCTCTTTTCCCTTGCATCAGGGCCTTCATGTGATCTAATAATCAACTTGAGTTGAAATTCCTTGAGAAATTTCTCAGTGCAATCAGGACCCCAAAGTAAACCAATGCCTCTCTCTGTATTTGGCGAAAGTCCTGGAGTCATCGAGGGATCTGACCACAGCACGTCACCAGGAATCAAGTTGAAACCAATCCATGGAGGATCAAGAACTGATCTTCGGGCCTTGTTTAATTCTTCAAGAGAGCCCAAAGATAATGAACTGGTTTCAGGATTGCAAGCTATCATACGACTCTTCTTTCCCTTTGATTTCTTGGGAATAGCAGACATGTGTCGAAATAAACCTCCATGTGCAGTGTACACATGTTTACCAACGATGGAAGCCAACGGAAGACCTCGAAAGCACCCAAGGCATTCACGATACACATGCTTGCCTCTATCACCATACTTTGTCAGCACTTCCTTCTCAAAACCATAAACAGAAGTGCAATACTTTGATTCGTGATTTCCTCGCAAAAGATACACCCTTTCTGGCATAAACACTTTCCAAGCTAACAAAATTAAGAAACTTTCGAGACCCCAAGCACCTCTGTCAACATAATCACCATTGAAGACGTAGAATCGATTTTCTGAGGGAAAGCCAGCATCATGGAGAAGGAAAAGAAGGTCGTGCAACTGGCCGTGAAGGTCTCCGACGACGACGACTGTGGATTCAGGGGTTAAGTTGTCAATGGTGATGCAATTGGGCTCTTCGTGGAGGATCTTGGAGGCACAGAGGACCAGACAATCACAAACCTCGACAGGAAACACGTCTGGCAATTGGGTTGGCTCAAGATCTCTAGAAGCCCAGTCAAAGACGGACATTAGGTTAAGGACCCAGTTGAGGGTGAGCTTGCCATCAGGAGGCCAATTAATTGGGGTTTCAAGTTGAGGTGACTGTGATGATGGGCTGTCTTTGGATTCTGAGTTGGTAGCTATGGAAGACGATGAGTTGAAGACTAGCTCCCTTAATTGGTATTGGCTTGGAGGTCGGTAACCTGGGCCAAATTGGCCAACCACTTCCACAAATCTTTTGAAGCTATCATTATCAATAGCATCAAAAGGAATGCCAGACTCATACACCCATTCAGCCAAAGACTGATGCACTTCATGTGTTCTTTGCGTCAAAACTTCAATGTCTTCATCTTCTTTTCCAATTTGTTGAAGCTCGAGTTCTTCCCCCACGTCCCCTTTGCGTCCACTCCCTTTTCTATTCTTATTTTTTGCTTCTTCTAATGCAGCTTTACATTTGGCTTTATCCTCATCCGAAGACCTTGGGCACAGGGCTACATTTCCCTTAATGTGGGCTATGTGTTGCTTGATTCTATATACACCACCACTAACAAGTTTCCCACACAGCTTACACTTCAACTTATCCAAGTTTGTAGGATCCGCCAAAACCCCAAACTCCCAGCCCACATCACTTGAAGCACGCTTTAACGACGACAAACTCTCTCTCCCAATCTCCGAGGGTGCATTAGATGCTCCGGAAGATGCCATCATTATCAAAGCTGCAAAAAAAAAAAAAAATTTATCAAACAAGCATAGTTTAAGTAATATTTATAAATTATCAAAGCTGTGAAAAAAGAAGAAGCATATGAAGCAAGAGATTGAGTGGTTAAACCAACGAAAGTACCAGGACCTCACTCAAAGATATGAAAAAAATGAAGTAAGGCGTACTCATCTGGTTTTCTCATTGTATACGCTATGTATGCCTGAAATATATGGACTCTTTTCAATATCCCCTAGTATCATGTCCATGTATATTCATTATTGAGAAAACTTGCTTCAATTCCAAGATGGGTTTCATATGGTCTGCTCATTACATTACACTCTTATACAGACCAGTGTATGTCAATTAAGTTCACACACGCATGTAAATTTAAGGGGGGTGAAATGCACACATCAAAAAGGAAATGCACTGCTGCGAGCAATAATTTCAACCCTATATGTAAATAACAAAAGGTGCAACTATCCAATGATAACATATTTAAGGCATTAAATAAAATTAGATATTTTTCAAAGCAACAATAATCATAAATAAACCAAAAGAAGCATACAATAGACAACAGGGTTCCTGCACTCTTGAGTGCCTCACTCAAAAAATGGTCAAGTGGGGTTAAACCAATGCCTCCGTATCGAATCAAACTGGAGGAAATCAGATATGTGAATGGTTCGTATGGACCGAAAATTAGGGTTTCTCGGAGATTAAAAGGGATCGGAAACTCACAAAGACGCTTAGAGTACCCCATTGAAGCTCGAAAATGATCACCTGAGACGGTCAGATTGCGACGCGTTAGGGTTTGAATCGTAGAGAGCAATGTGTCTTTGAGCTCGGAGAGAGAGAGAGAGAGAGAGAGAGAGCGCGATGGGCAATTGCACAATACTTAAGTCCAATTGGCTGAGCCGGCCCATAGCCCGTCATGGACTGAGACTACCCCTGGCCCATCATGGGTCGAGCCAGCTTGTAACACAAATAATTATGTCAAATATGTTGATTTAAATACAATTTTATATTGAACACAGTTAATCGTGCTCAATTAGTTGTGTAAATGGATTTGCGTGCTATCTAGCAAGTATTTTAAAAAAGTGAATGATTTTACTTTCATAGATACAAACAATTGTGTCTTAATTTGACAGATGTGACAACATGATTCACAAAACCAATATTTGGGCCCAATATATATGTTTTTGACATAAATGGCACTGAATGAATATATATATTTTCGTTACGTAAATCGTGCTCAATAATTTACACGTAGTAAAAAAATTTATTTTTATTCAATTAAAAACCCCACACCTTTTAACCAAAAAACCATGATCCCTCATCTTTCCAACTCTAAAAAATATCTCACCTTATCATCTAAAATCTTCTCAGTACCCCACCCTTCTCATTTTTTGAAGTCTTTCCCACTTGAAAACCTCTCTCTCTCTCGCTTGAAGCTCTCTCTCCCTCTAACTCTTTCTCTTAGTTCGACGCCGCTGCCATCCACGACCCCCACCTAAACCTAAACCTAAACCTCCATATTTTGAAAAGTTCTCTATTCTTCACTCCTCCGAAGATCGATCACTTGCACCAGTACCACTAGAGGTGTCAAACAGACCGGGTCGGCTCGACATGGCCCGCTTAAGTAAGGCACGACATGGCCCGTATTTTTGGGTCGTGTCGAGACGAGGTAATTAAGTCCAATGGATTGAGCTGGCCCGTAGCCCGTCATGGACCGAGACTACCCTTGGCCCATTATGGGCCGAGCCAGCTTGTGGTCTGTCGTGGGCCGAGTTGATCCAAAATTCATCGGGCTGGCCCGTTTAAAGCCCATATATTAAATTATACTTGTTTTAGGAAAAAATAAAACATAATATTACTACATTTATATCTTAAATTCAAGTCTATTTCTTTTTTCTAATAATATATATTAAAATTAATATTTTCTTTATATATAAAATAATGATTTTGTTTTTCAAGTTTCAATTTTTAAAACTCACACAATAATCTAGCCATTTTCTATTTAAATGTACTTTAAATTAAGTTATTGTCCTCTTTTTTTAACAAATAATAAATCTTATTAGTATATACATAATTGCAAAAAAGATTTAAATAAAGTTGTAAAAAAATTAAAACAAAAAAAGCAATACATAAGCCAAATTTGGCGTGGACCCATATCGGCCCGTTTAGTGGCCCGACACGAGCACGGCTTGAGCCCATATAGACTCGGGGCGGGGTTGATGGTTTTTCTAAAAGGGCGGGCCCAACACGACCCGTTTATTAAATGGGCTGACAATAAATAGACCGGACCGGCCCAACACAACCCGTTTGACACCTCTAGGTACCACCCACCACCTCCACCACATCTCTCCTCTCATTCTCTCATTCTTAGGTTTTGGTTTTTGAGTGGTCAAACCAAAAATAAAGAAGTCTAAGCTTCTGTTAGGCATGAACTCGTAGATCAACATTTGAATATTAATGACATTGAATTGCAGCAAATATGTTCAAAGTATATTAAATATAATCAATGGAGAAAACAACAATTTCAAATATATGGGGGTATTTTGGGAATCTAAAAATTACAATAAATCAATATTGAGCTTGATAAGGTAACTTGATGAGGTGGATTCTAGTCATGGGTTTTTACTTATAAAAAATGAGTTTTATTAATAGGAACAAAAAATAATGGATTGCAGTTAAGGAAAATTCAATTTGGAGGGGGGTAAGCCAAATTTACTTATAAAAAATGAGTTTTATTAATA